CGTTGTCAAATCACAACTGTAATCGTTGGATGTTGGCCTTCAGTAGCATTTTAAATGAAACTGACAAAAGTTCAATTGAGGCCTTACACTACTGTAAAATTGATATCAAAATCTTTTAAAAATCCAAGCTTTCGCCGACCTACTGCATCATCAGGGCTAAGAAAAATTATTCCGCCCTGTTCTGTCTTTATTTGGCCGAAAAACCAAGTAGCATAATTTTGAGGCGAGGAGCATAATTTAGAGAAACGAGCATAATTCGGGCATAATTTCCAAAAATTTTGAGCAGTGCTAGGAGCATAATATGCAAGTTTTACGAACACAATCGAGAGAAGCTTACCGGCTTCTGCCTCACGCACTTAAGGCCCAGGTTAACTGGCCTGGCTCGGTTTCCGTGATCTCGCCTCGCCACTCTGTTAGGTCTTTTCTTCGTAGAGATTTCCACGTGTTATGAGAAGCCGGGTTGGCCCGATTACCGAGATTTTGGGTTTTGCTTTCGGGATCTCCGTAACCGGGATGAAAATTTCCCCACACATGTATGAACATTCTCTCCCGGGTGACCGGGACGAAACTCTTTTGACAAAATATCGAAAAATATAAGCTTCGTTTTCGTATCATAGTTCGACATAGCGGCCAAAGAGGCGTAATTTTTGCCTTGTACCTCTTTCCATTAACAAGTACGTAAACAAAGCTACAATAATCGAGAACGATACAATTGCAAGTTTAGATGTATGTTCCACCATTTTGGTTTTATTTCTTGAACTTAATCCCAGTTGCATCCCGGTCGACCGGGCTGAAATTTCCCATATGAACAGACAACAAAATTCGTCCCGATAACTGAGCCAGCCAGGTTACCGGGCTCATATAAGAGGCCCTCAGCTCTCCTTAGCCCAAGAAAACGAACGCCACGACCTCGGTCAGGGATTCATTATCAAGGAGAACTGCAATATACAGTGTTTATACAGCATATAGCTTGTATATACGGCCACCCTCGCGACTTGAGGAACTGGTCGCTTAATACAGGATCACGGAAAATACTCACTGGGCGTGGTCTAATGTCAGTTTTAATAGTGCATCATACAAGAACACTTCATGCCATGAAACAGTAGGACAATCAACACTCTTTCAAGCGACCAATACTTCAGTTCAGTGCTAACCTGTAACTTAATAGTATAATATACGTAATATCGTGTAAAAGTACGATGCTATAAATTGTCCTCTTCTCTTCTACGGTATACAGTACTGTATTTCTATGACTTAAAATCTCCTTCGCAGCCGTTATTAGGGTCGTCATACAACGACCCTATAATAACGGCTGCGAACGAGACTATATGACTCTATGAAACATCTCATTCCGTCATTTCATAGTTGATACGTTCAATTTTATAGTTGTTAGGTTCAGGGTGGCCGCTTAATACAGGTCAAAACAACAAAATTAGACAAACATATGACTGCTACAGGATGGCCGCGGCCAGTTAATAGAGGTGGCCGCCTAATACATGTAACAAATACAGCGTTTGTATGAGTGAAAAATCGGGACTTTGAAAACTGGCCTCTTAATAGAGAGCCGTTATATACAGGTTCGACTGTACTCTAAAAAAAAACTCAAAAGCCAAATGAAAACAATAAAAACCAGAAAACAGCATTTATAAATTTGAAACCATGTCAAAACCATAAACAGTAGCAAGCACAGATTTGGCAGCAACTTTCAGAGAAGGTACATTCTCCAGACCGGTGCTCAATTTTACCCTCTCGTCAAGGTTGAGGCGCCACGACAGGCAAACCAGGTATGGAATGATATTCTCTGATAGCGCTGTCTGCAGATTCTCCTTAATGGAAAGTGTATGCACCAGGGAAAAGACTCCAAGCTTTTGTGTTGACGTGGAACCTGGCCATAGGAATTGGTTCTTCTGCCCTGCAATCACACAATCCTTATTGTCAGACATCGATGAAGTTGTACTTTCCATACTTCCAAATACTTGCACATCAGACAGTTTTTCTTCTCTGCTGCCAGAGTTGGATAATCGGTTACCACCTTGTGATTTCTTTATATTAGCCATGCTAGCATTGTGCACTTCGGGTGTGGACTTGGTTGGCGGCTCACTTTCCATAAAACAAGATTCTTCACTTTGATGAGTACCATGGACATTGTTCCCATATTTTTGGTCCTTGATTTGGTTCTCATCCTGGTCATTGCCGT